GCGGGTGGATCACGAGGTCAAGAGATCGAGACCATGCTGGTCAACATGGTGAAACCCCATCTCTACTAAAAATACAAAACATTAGCTGGGCGTGGTGGTGCGCGCCTGTAGTCCCAGCTACTTGGGAGGCTGAGGCAGGAGAATTGCTTGAACCCAGGAGGCAGAGGTTGCGGTGAGCCGGGATGGTGCCATTGCACTCCAGCCTGGGTAACAAGAGCGAAACTTCGTCTCAAAAAAAAAAAAAAGTTTTTGTACAGATAGCATCTCACTACATTGCCCAAACTACTGGCACCATTTATAAAGGCAAAAATTACCTGTGGAAAAGCATGGCCAGATCTGAGTTCAAAACCCAGTTATGAACCTTGGACAAGTAACTTAACTTATATGAGCTTTAGTTTCCTTATCTGTAAAATTAAGATAATAATAGCTATACAAGAGGGTTTTTGCAAGGCTTATAGGACCTGCCTACGGAGGTGAGTATTTAATACATGACTACTAATATTAGGAGTAGTGCACTTACCTGTGATCTGAAAAGGAGCCTGGATGAGCCGCTGCTGAACTCCCCTGAGTAGCTCCTCTATTTCCTTCTGTATATTGCAGACAACCTCTTCCATCAGCCCTACATCAGCTATTCCTTTCCAGAACATCAAAGTGTCCTCTGTCACAAGGATAAGACGGAGGGTAAACAAGAGATGCTACATATTTAGGCAAATCTCTACAATGTTAAATTCAAAATTATTTAATTCAAAAGGATTTCTTGTTGGGCCATTGCTGAAAAAAGGGAAGAAGCTTTGGAATACAAGATGCTTCTTCCCTGACTTGGCACCTAATCATTTAGCCTCTTCAGCAGCATAGGTGCTTGGAATAATTGCCTCAATTTATCATAGTTCTCGCTACAAAGAATAGTTATCTTCCTCCAATAAAGATATTAATTAACTATTAAACATGTTAGTATTAAATAAAAATGAAATAGTTAACATTAAATATTAGTTAATTTAAAAACGAGACATTTAGGCCGGGCGCGGTGGCTCACACCTGTAATCCCAGCACTTTGGGAGGCTGAGGCGGGTCAATCACCTGAGGTTGGGAGTTCGAGACCAGCCTGGCCAACATGGTGAAACCTCGTCTCTACTAGAAATCCAAAAAATTAGCTGGGCGTGGTGGCGCATGGCTGTAATCCCAGCTACTCAGGAGGCTAAGGCAGGAGAATCACTTGAACCTGGGAGGCAGAGGTTGTGGTAAGCCAAGATCACACCACTGCACTCCAGCCTAGACAACAAGAGTGAACTCCGTCTCAAAAAAAAAAAGAGAGAAGGCCGGGCGCGGTGGCTCAAGCCTGTAATCCCAGCACTTTGGGAGGCCGAGGCGGGTGGATCACGAGGTCAAGAGATCGAGACCACCCTGGTCAACATGGTGAAACCCCGTCTCTACTAAAAATACAAAAAATTAGCTGGGCATGGTGGTGCGTGCCTGTAATCCCAGCTACTCAGGAGGCTGAGGCAGGAGAATTGCCTGAACCCAGGAGGCGGAGGTTGCGGTGAGCCGAGATCGCGCCATTGCACTCCAGCCTGGGTAACATGAGTGAAACTCCGTCTCAAAAAAAAAAAAAAAAAAAAAAAAAAGAGAGAGAGATATTTAATATCCTAAAATTTAAATAATAAAGATATTAAATTAAATATTAATTAATATGTACTCCCTAGCCCTATACTTAAGAAAATAAAACAAAACAGTTGGATAGGTAGGGTTATATAAGCTCTCTGAGGGTGGTGGCTATGTTTTTTCACGTACATACATAGCATCTTACAACAGTGCCAACTAAAAATAGGCAATAATAAACACTTATTAAATGAATTAAAAAATGGAGGGTGATGTGAAGCTTCTTCTGGTCCCCTCTAAGTGAATCATCATTAATCGCCATGCTCTACAACACTTGCCACCTATTTTTTCCTTCTAACATCTCAAAGCTTAGTTTATCTAAGAGGGTGCAAAAGTTGGAGGCAGTCTGATCGGATGAAAAGCACAGACTATGTAGTCAAACAGTTAAATTCAGCTCTAACAAGTGTTGGTTCTAACTGACCTTAGCCAAGTTGCTAAACCTTTCTGAATCCTGATTTGTGCGTAAAATGTGACTATACAAGGGTGTTGCATGGATTAAAGTAGGACGTTTGTAGCTATTGTTAGTATTTGCATGCACGAGAAAAGCCAGCAAAAGTAATTAAGAGGTCTTCCGTATCCATAATCATAATGGTGATAAGGGTCACAAGACCCTGCAAGATATTGGAGCCCTAAAGAAAAATACCTGAAATTTCCTCTGAGTCTTTCTTTACACCCTCCTCCGTGGCCATGGTGACAGCAGCAGTGAGAGCTGAGTTCCATTCCAGCCCTGCCTCTTCCATGCTCTCTTCTGAGATGGCAATCTGTGTGATGCTACCTAAAAGCAATCCAGTAGAGGCGAGAACAGTGAATTTAATGAAAAAGTTATAGCTATCCTATATCTCATATACAACATCTACAGAGATCTTGTTATTTTAACATTCTAGCCTCTTGGCTGCAGGTCCCTATTTTAAAAACTAGACTCTTAGGTAAGTCAGGATGAATATTGAATTTTCTAAAGAAAACCTGCCTTGCAAAAAAAAAAAAAAAAAACCGCTTTCTTACTTTGAATAGAAAGTGAAAAATAATTTATCAAATCACAAAAGAGCAATGTGTTTCCTGAGTAGATATGTTTTTGAAAGAGATTGAAGGTAGGCATTACTACTAGGCCGCCTGCCCCAGACTTACTAAGGGTAAAAAAAGCTTGAAATAATTTAAGAGAAAGGTAAAATACTTTGCCAAGAGCTCTACTACAAACAAGTTTGAGACTAAGCATCTAACTCAGTTATTAGCCTATACAAAGAAAGTGAAAGAAAGAGAGACCATAAAAATCAGATAAGAGATTCATGGTCTTTGGGAGGCCGAGAGGGGCAGATCACGAGGTCAGGAGATCGAGACCAGCCTGGCCAACATGGTGAAACCCCGTCTCTACTAAAAATAAAAAAAAATTAGCCGGGCGTGGTGGCACACACCTGTAGTCCCAGCTACTCAGGAGGCTGAGGCAGAAGAATCACCTGAACCCAGGAGGTGGAGGTTGCAATGAGCCAAGATCTCACCACTGCACTCTAGCCTGGATGATAGAACGAGACTCCATCTCAAAAACAAACAAACAAAAAGAGATTCATGGTCGGGCGCAGTGGCTTATGCCTGTAATCCTGGTACTTTGAGAGGCCCAGGCAGGTGGATCACGAGGTCAAGAGATAGAGACCACCTTGGCCAAAACAGGTGAAACCCTGTCTCTACTAAAAATACAAAATTAGCTGGGCGTGGTAGTGCGTGCCTGTAGTCCCAACTACATGTACAGCAGATTCAGAGGGGAAAAAAATATCCTTTGCTATTACTTGTATATTAAGATTTTGACTGGGCACGGTAGCTCATGCCTATAATCCGAGCACTTTGGGAGGCTAAGGTGGGCAGATCACTTGAGCCCAGAAGTTTGAGACCAGCCTGGACAACACAGCAAAGCCGAGTTTCTACAAAAATTGGCTGGGTATGGTGGTGCACACCTACAGTTACAGCTACTCGGGAGGGTGAGGTGGGAGGATCACCTGAGCCCAGGAGCTTAAGGCTACAGTAAACTGTGATTGTGTCACTGTACTCCAGTCTGGGTGACAGAGTGAGACCTTGCCCGAAAAAAAAAAAAGCTTTTAAACAAAGAGAATAGATAATAAAAACTAAATTGATCCAAACATCAATACAGATAACTATGAACTCTACACACTGGAGGATATCAATAATCAAGTAAAAGATAATCAAGTAAAGGAGTTTTGGCCAAATAAAAAGCAAGTACAGTTGTCCCTCAGTATACACGGGGGATTGATTCCTGGACCACCTGCATATCTAACGAAATCTGCACATGCCGAAGTCCTGAAGTCAAAAAGTAAAAGTCAATCCTTCATAGACCCAGGATTTGCATCCTGCAAATATTGTATTTTCAATCCACGATTGGCTGAAAAAGAAGCCATGTATATAAGTGGACCCCCGCAGATCAAATCCATATTGTTCAACAGCCAACTGTAAATAGGATTTCACAATATTTTTCACTTTTCAAGTGAAAGAGTGAAGTGTCCAAATATTCAAACTGCCAGATATTTTATACTTTCCTGAAACGGATTTAGGTTTCAAGGGATTTGGCTTCTACTCGGCCACTGGTTAAGCATGGAATATTAGAACTGACCAAAAGATCTTTATTTTTTTGAGACAGGGTTTCGCTCCTGTCACGTAGGTTGGAGTGCAGTGACACAATCAGCTCACTGTATAAGTGATCTTCCTACCTCAGTTTCTCTAGTAGTTGGGACCACTGGTGCACACCACTATGCCCAGCTAATATTTTTATTTTTTGCAGAGATGATTTTCGCCATGATGCCCAAGCTGGTGTTGAATTTCTGGGCTCAAGTAATCCTCCTGTCTTGACTTCCCAAAGTGCTGGGATTAGAGGTATGAGCCACCATGCCCAGCCATTAAGAGGTCATTTTTCCAGCACCGTAAGACATAGTGGGGGAAAAAAAAAAAAAAAAGAGAGAGACCAGACATGGTGGCTCATGCCTGTAATCTCAGCACTTTGGGAGGCTGAGGCAGGTGGATCACCTGAGGTCAGGAGTTTGAGACCCGCCTGGCCAACATGGTGAAACCCCAACCCTACTAAAAATACAAAAAATTAGTAATTTCAGCTACTCAGGAGGCTGAGGCAGGAGAACTGCTTGAACCTGGGAGGTGGAGATTGCAGTGGGCCAAAATCCTGCCATTGCACTCCAGCCTGGGTGACAGAGTGAAACTCTGTCTAAGACAAACAAAAAAAGGCCAGGTGCAGTGGCTCATGCCTGTAATCCCAGCACTTTGGGAGCACAAGGTGGGTGGATCACAAGGTCAGGAGTTTAACAACAGCATGGCCAGTGTGGTGAAACCCCATCGCTACTAAAAATACAAAAATTAGCCGGGCGTGGTGGTAGGCACTTGCCAGCTACTCGAGAGGCTGAGGCAGGAGAATCACTTGAACCCTGGAGGCACAGGTTGCAGTGAGCTAAGACAGTGCCATTGCAATTTAGCCTGGGTGACTGAGAGAGACTCCATCTCAAAAAAAAAAGGGTCAATTTAAAAGCACAGTGTACGTCCCTAACCTTTCAGATTCTTTGGCATTCTTGTGACTTTTCTGAGGCATATTTTTAATTCTTATGACAGTAGTTGAGATGTATTTTATCCAATTATATCGAGCTGAATTAACTGAATCTTTAATAATAATCTTACAGTTACATCTTCTCTGGATGGTAAGGAGCCCTAGTCCCAAACTCAACAATACTGAAGTTAACTATGTGCTCATTCTATTTCATCTGTGGGAAGCCTCAACTTGCTAATCTGGAGCCCTTTCAAGCAGAGAACTCTGATCCTTACAGTGGGGTGTCCAGAGTCTAGTCCAGCCAATGATAACATTATCTTTGATAGACCTCAGTTTAATGGTTGAAAACCACTCATCAGGGTCAGGCATGGTGGCTAACGCCTGTAATCCCAGTACTTTGGAAGGCCGAGGTGGGTGGATCATGAGGTTGGGAGTTCGAGACCAGCCTGGCCAATATGGTGAAACCCCATCTCTACTAAAAATACAAAAATTATCAGGGTGTGGTGGTGGGCACCTGTAATCCCAGCTACTAGGGAGGCTGAGGCAGGAGAATAGCTTGAACCCAGGAGGTGGAGTTTGCAGTGAGCCGAGATTGTGCCACTGCACTTCACTGCACTCCAGCCTGGACGACAGAGTGATATTCCCAACACAAAAAAAAAAAAAAAAAAAAAAAAAAAGAAAACCACTCATCATTCTAATCTTCTAATCTACCTTCTTGTGTTGACTACTAGTAAAGCAAAGCATTTTACTTTACTACTAGTAAATCACAAGTCTGGACTACAGGCGTGTGCCACCACACCTGGCTAATTTTTTGTATTTTTTTTTTTTTTTTTTTTTGGGGAGGGGGTTTCGCTCTTTTTCCCCGGTGGAGTGCAATGGCGCGATCTCGGCTCACCGCAACCTCCGCCTCCTGGGTTCAGGCAATTCTCCTGCCTCAGCCTCCTGAGTAGCTGGGATTACAGGCACGTGCCACCATGCCCAGCTAATTTTTTGTATTTTTAGTAGAGACGGGGTTTCACCATGTTGACCAGGATGGTCTCGATCTCTTGACCTCGTGATCCACCCACCTCGGCCTCCCAAAGTGCTGGGATTACAGGCTTGAGCCACCGTGCCCGGCCCAATTTTTTGTATTTTTAGTAGAGATGGTCTTTCACCGTGTTAGCCAGGACGGTTGCCATCTCTTGACCTCGTGATCTACATGCTTCAGCTTCCCAAAGTGTTGGGATTACAGGCTTGAGCCACCGAGCCTTGGCCTAAATTTTGTCTTTTTAGTAGAGATGGTGTTTCATCATGTTGGCCAGCCTAGTCTCAAACTCCTGATCTCAGGTGATCCACCCACCTCACCCTCCCAAAGTACTGAGATTACAGGTGTAAGCCACCACGCCCAGCTGCAAAGCTTTTTCTTTCTTTTTTTTTGAGAGGAAGTCTCCCTCTGTCGCCCAGGCTGAAGTGCAGTGGCATGATCTCGGCTCACCGCAACCTCCGCCTCCCAGGCTGAAGCAATTCTCTACCTCAGCTTCCTGAGTAGCTGGGATTACAGGCACCTGCCACCATGCCTGGCTAATTTTTGCATTTTTAGTAGAGTTGCGGTTTCACCATCTTGGCCAGGCTGATCTTGAACTCTTGACCTTGTGATCCACCCGCCTCGACCTCCCAAAGTGCTGGGATTACAGGCATAAGCCATAGCACATGGCCTAACTTTTGTATTTTTAGTAGAGACAGGGTTTCACCATGTTGGTCAGGCTGGTCTTGAACTCTTGACCTCATGATCCACTCACCTTGGCCTTCCAAAGTGCTGGGATTACAGGTGTGAGCCAACAGGCCCAACCTGCAAAGCATTTCTCAAATCAGCCTAACTCAACCTTAATATGCCAAGTGATAGCAAAGTGAAACTCTTATATAAGTATTATCACTCTACTGAACTACCTTTCTTTCTTTTTCTTTTTTTTCTCTTTTTTTGAGACAGAGCTTTGCTTTTGTTGCCTAGGCTGGAGTGCAATGGCGCAAGCCCAACTCAATGCAACCTCTACTTCCTGAGTTCAAGCAATTCTCCTGCCTCAGGAACCTGGGTAGTATCTGGAATTATAGGCATGCACCACCACATCTGGCTAATTTTGTATTTTTTTTTTTTTAAGATGGTGTTTCACCATATTGGTCAGGCTGGTCTCAAACTCCTGACCTCAGGTGATCCGCCCACCTCAGCCTCCCAGAGTGCTGGGATTAGAGGCGTGAGCCACCACGCCTGGCTAGCTGATTTTTCTTTCTTTTTTCTTTTTTTTTTTTTTTTTTTGAGACAGAGTTTCACTTCTGTTACCCAGGCTGGAGTGCAATGGCGCGATCTCAGCTCACCGCAGCCTCCGCCTCCTGAGTTCAGGCAATTCTCCTGCCTCAGCCTCCTGAGTAGCTGGGATTACAGGCACGCACCACCATGCCCAGCTGATTTTTGTATTTTTAGTAGAGACGGGGTTTCACCATGTTGACCAGGATGGTCTCGATCTCTTGACCTCGTGATCCACCCGCCTCGGCCTCCCAAAGTGCTGGGATTACAGGCGTGAGCCACCGCGCCCGGCCCTTGTATTTTTTTTAGTAGAGACAGGGTTTCTCCATGCTGGTCAGTCTGGTCTCAAACTCCCAACCTCAGGTGATCTGCCCACCTCGACCTCTCAAAGTGCTGGGATTACAGGTGTAGGCCACTGTGCCTGGCTGAACTGCCTTTCTATGCATTGTAAGAAAAAAACAAAGAAGGAGGTCTGGCCAATAGGTATCATTTGGAAGAAAACAAAGCATGTTTCCAAGGCATGGAATCCCATCCAAGATTACCATACTTTACAACAAGACACATCAACGTTCATGAGAATTGAAATTAAGAATATACAAGGGAAGGTCGGGTGAGGTGGCTCAAGCCTATAATCCCAGCACTTTGGGAGGCCGAGGCGGGTGGATCACGAGGTCAAGAGATCGAGACCATCCTGGTCAACAAGGTGAAACCTTGTCTCTACTAAAAATACAAAAATTAGCTGGGCATGATGGTGCATGCCTGTAGTCCCAGCTACTCGGGAGGCTGAGGCCAGAGAATTGCTTGAACCCAGGAGGCGGAGGTTGCGGTGAGCCGAGATCGTGCCATTGCACTCCAGCCTGGGCAACAACGGCAAAACTCCGTCTCAAAAAAAAAAAAAAAAAGAATATACAAGGGAAAGGCTGGGCCCAGTGGCTCACACCTATAATCCCAGCACTTTGGGAGGCCAAGGCAGGAAGATCCCAAGGTCAGGAGTTCAAGACAGCGTAACCAACATGGTGAAACCCTGTCTCTACTAAAAATACAAAAATTAGCTGGGCATGGTAGTGGGCACCTGTAATCCCAGCTACTCAGAAGGCTGAAGCAGGAGAACTGCTTGAACCCAGGAGATGGAGGTTGCAGTCTGCCAAGACTGTACCACTGAACTCCAGCCTGGGCAACAAAGTGAGACTTCATCTCAAAAAAAAAAAACCACAAAAAAAAAAAAGAGAGAAAGAATATACAAGGAAGAAATAAGGGGGAAGTTCTGCTGAAAAACACAGTGGGTTTTCAGGTGGTTTCCTACCCCCTACCATCAGCCGAAGTGGGTGTCTGCACCACACTTGTCTGCTGTCCTGGCACTGGAGCTCTTGCACTGCTGATCAGAAGATCAAATTTGGTGCTTCTGCAGGTATTGGAGCAAACTTTGTCATGTTGGTAAAAATCAATCTGTCCGGAGTCCATCATTTTCCTGTGCAAAGGGAGACAAGAAGTACCAGTTCAGCCTATACTTCATCTAGTGGGAACTAGGCCTCAGGGAAAAATAGGAACAACATTGCTGAGTTTACTGTATAAATTAGTGAAACCCAATAGTGTTAAAAGTTATTAGGTTGCAAAAATTCTAAGTGGCGCTTCAAATTTTCACTGGTCCTGTCCATCATTTAGCAATATTTCTCTTCCCTCCCTAGTTTATTCATTATGAGTATTCTCTTCTATTTCCAGTTATCACTAGGCTTCAGGTATATCCTCCTGACAATAGCTAGGTTTCTCCATAGAATCTCACTGAAACCAAATCAATCCCAGCACAACTGAGAAATGCCACAGAGAAATTAGAATTTTGATAAGCTTCTGATGAATTAGTATTCCTAGACCAGCAAGATCTGTTGTGACTTTCACAGACATAAAGCTTCAGTCTTTTTTTTTTTTTTTTTTTTTTTTCCCGAGACGGAGTTTCACTCACGTTACCCAGGCTGGAGTGCAATGGCGCAATCTCGGCTCACTGCAACCTCCGCCTCCTGGGTTCAGGCAATTCTCCTGCCTCAGCCTCCTGAGTCGCTGGGATTACAGGCACGCACCACCATGCCCAGCTAATTTTTTTGTATTTTTAGTAGAGACGGGGTTTCACCATGTTGACCAGGATGGTCTCCATCTCTTGACCTCGTGATCCACCCGCCTCGGCCTCGCAAAGTGCTGGGATTACAGGCTTGAGCCACCGCGCCTGGCCCAAAGCTTCAGTCTTTTAAAAAACTCTCCTATGATGCTGATTCAGAGCATCTAGAGAAAAAAAAAAAACCAAAAAACCTCTCCTAGGAATACAGAAAAAAGTTGACTATACTAAATCCACTCTGGAAAATGCCCTTATAATTGGATCCATAAAATGTTAATTTAGGTCATGAACAAAACCATGGGGTATTTTAATTATAGTAAATTCTAAGTTATAATGTCACTTGGCTTTCACTAAAATTTTTTTAGAATTCTGACTCTTTTTTACATTTGGGGTAAATTGGCATATGCTTGTCTTTCTGGCTAAATTAAACCTGCCAAGAACAACAAAACTCAAAGTTAAAAGTATTCCTCAGCGAGGTGCAGTGGCTCATGCCTGTAATCCCAGCACTTTGGGAGGCCAAGGCAGGAGGATCACTTGAACTTAGGAGTTTGAGACTAGTGTGGACAACATGGTGAAACCCCATTTCTATAAAGAATACAAAAATCAGCCGGGCATGGTGGTTCATGCCTCTAGTCTCAGCTAATTGGGAAGCTAAGGCTGAAGAATTGCTTGAGCCTGGGAAACTGAGGTTGCAGTAAGCCAAGATCGTGCCACTGCACTCCAGCCTAGGAGTCAGAGTTAGACCCAGTCTCAAAAATAAATAAATAAAAAACAAAAATAAAGTATTCCCAATTTCAATGGACTAATTTCTGCATACAAATCATCTGAAAAAAATGTTTAAAAATAATGTTTCATTGGAAGCATAGGAGTAAAATAATTTTAAAAATTTCCAAATAAAAACAAAAAGAATACCAGTAATGTCTGTGTGTCTCTGACTATAAAAACGATGTGAAAGGCTGGACGCAGTGGCTCACACTGGTAATCCCAGCACTTTGGGAGGCTGAGGAAGGCAGATCATCTGAGGTCGGGAGTTCAAGACCAGTCTGCCCAACATGAAGAAATCCTGTCTCTACCAAAAACACAAAATTATCCAGGTGTAGTGGCGCATATCTGTAGTCCCAGCTATTCAGGAGGCTGAGGCAGGAAAATTGCTTGAACCTGGAAGGCGGAGATTTCGGTGAGCTGAGATCTCACCACTGCACTCCAGCCTGGGTAACAAGAAGGAAACTCTACCTCAAGAAAAAAAAAACAAAAAAAAACCATGTGAAGAAAATATTTCACATTTTCAGCTGGGCACAGTGGCACACACCTGTAGTCCAAGCTACTCTTGAGGACTGCTTGAGCTCAGGAGTTTGAGGCTGCAGTGGGCAATAAGCCATGAAGCCATGATCATGCCACTGCACTCCAGCCTGAGTGACAAAACATGAGCTTTTTTTCTCCTTTTGTTCTGAGATGGCGTTTAGCTCTTGTTGCCCAGGCTGGAGTGCAATGGCTCAATCTTAGCTTACCACAACCTCCGCCTCCCGGGTTCAAGCGATTCTCCTGCCTCAGCCTCCTGAGTTAGCTGGGATTACAGCCACGTGCCACCACACCTGACTAATTTTGTATTTTTAGTAGAGATGGGGTTTCTACAGGTTGGTCAGGCTGGTCTCAAACTCCTGACCTCAGGTGACTGGCCCACCTCAGCCTCCCAAATTGCTGGGATTACAGGTGTGAGGCACTGGGCCCAGTAATTTTTTTTTTTTTATAGAGATGGAGTTTCACCATGTTGGCCAGGCTGGTCTCGAACTCCTGACCTCAGGTGATCCACCCGCCTCGGCCTCCCAAAGTGCTGAGATTACAGGCATGAATCACCATGCCCAGCCAATTTTGGCTCGATGTCAACTCACTGCAGCCTCCATTCAAGCAATTCTCCTGCCTCAGGCTCCCAAGTAGCTGGGATTACAGGGCATGCGCTACCATGCCCGGTTAATTTTGTATTTTCAGTAGAGACGGGGTTTTTCCACGTTGGTCAGGCTAGTCTCGAACTCCCAATCTCAGGTGATCTGCCTGTGTCGGCCTCCCAAATTGCTGGGATTACAGGCATGAGACACCGTGCCTGGTCTGTAATAAACATCTTTATGCTTGAATCGCTATAGTATTATGGATTTTTCTTGAAAGAGATTCCTTAAAAAGAACTATTTTTATTTTTATTTATTTTTTATCTCTTCTTTAAAATTTTATTCTTTTTTTTCCCCTCCTAAAAATAATTAAATAGCCAGGCGAGGTGGCTCATCCCTGAAATCCCAGTACTTTGGGAGGCCAAGGTGGGTGGATCAGGAGTTCAACACCAGCCTGGCCAACATGGTGAAACCCCGTCTCTACTAAAAATACAAAAATTGGCCAGGTGTGGTAGCGTGCACCTGTAATCCCAGCTACTTGGGAGACTGAGGCAGGAGAATTGCTTCAACCTGGGAGGCAGAGGTTGCAGTGAGCCAAGATTTCACCACTGCACTCCAGCCTAGGTACAGAGCTAGACTCTGTCTCAAAACAAAACAAAATAATCTTTCTTCTCTCCCAGGATTTTTTTTTTTTTTTTTTTTTTTTTTTCTGAGACGGAGTTTCGCTCTTGTTACCCAGGCTGGAGTGCAATGGCGCGATCTCGGCTCACCGCAACCTCCGCCTCCCGGGTTCAGGCAATTCTCCTGCCTCAGCCTCCTGAGTAGCTGGGATTACAGGCACGCGCCACCATGCCCAGCTAATGTTTTGTATTTTCAGTAGAGACGGGGTTTCACCATGTTGACCAGGATGGTCTCGATCTCTTGACCTCGTGATCCACCCGCCTCGGCCTCCCAAAGTGCTGGGATTACAGGCTTGAGCCACCGTGCCCGGCCCTCTCCCAGGATTTTTAAGAACAAGTTGATTAAAGTCAAGTAATGCAAGGATTGCTCAAGCCAATTCTTCAGACAGAATAAAAATGTCAACCTAAAGAGAAAAATCCAGATTCTACCATGATTAAGTACACCGAAGTTTGTTGAAAGGTATGTGCTTGACAGTAGAGCTTACCTGAGCATGATCCCACCCAGACGAATAGCTCTCTTCCAGTCCTTCAGAGTGGACTTGCCAGCCAGATGAACAAAATGCTTGGGACTGATCAACTGATCATTGAACTAAAAGGAAAAAGAAAATTCCAAAACAGTCTAATGTCAACTTGGGCAGGCCAAGCGGGGAAATAATAAAATGATAACCCTACATCGTTTATATAAAAAATACCTGGATGACATCCTAAGCCTTGCATTATCCAACTTCCTGTACTATTGTGTTAGAGAAGATGATCCTTCTCTGAGCACAGTCTCCATTCCTGGTACAAAGCCACAGAATACATGTGGAGGATCACAGGTAAATATATTAATAACTATCTAAAATCCATTTATGCATAAAATCAGGTGGTTGGGTCTAGTGAGGCAAACAAAGGCTGTTCAAATAAACTGAAGTAATCTATCCAGCCTCAATGAAGACAGAATGAGCAATTTTTTATATATATATATTATATA